CAGATGGCACAATCTGGGGACTGAGGAGCTCACCCTGAAGGCCGTGCCCCGAGCTGGGGGGCAAAGACAGCCTGCCCCGAGCAGAGGGCCATGACGGCTCGCCCCAGGCCGGGGGCTGAAGACAGCCAACTTCACTTTTCAAGTCTGTCTCTTTTAGCCAGCATATTGATGGGTTTTGGGTTTTTATCCCATCTGCTACTCTTTCTCTTCACTAGTGCATTTAAATAATTAACATTAAGTGTCATGAGAGGCAAAGGTTTTTTTGCCATCATTTCTTTGAGTCCTTTTTGCTGTTGCTGCAGGTTGTTTTAGTCCATCCTGATTTCTGTGGCATCTCTGTATGAAGGGTTTCCCTCAGTATTTCCTGCAACACTGGTCTTGTTTTTACAAACTCCCTTAGGTTCTGCTTCTCTAAGAATAACTTGATCTCTCTGTCATATTTGATGGACAGTTTTGCTGGGTACAATATTCTTGGTTTATAGTTTAATTCTTTTAGTGTTCGATGTATGTCATCCCACTCTCCTTTCCTCACATGGTTTCTCCCTTATAGGTTACTCCTTATTTCTCCCTAGCTGCTTTTAGAATTCTTTCCTTATGTTTGGTTCTGGAAAATTTGACTATGATACATTTTGGTATTTTTTCTTTTGGAGTCTATTCTATTTGGAGTTTGCTCAACTTCTTGAATACATATTCTCTCATTCTTCATTATGCCTGGAAAGTTTTCTTCTAGTAATTCTTCCACAACTTTCTCGGTGACTTTACTTACTTCTTCTTATTCTGGGATTCTGATTATTTGCATGTTATTCCATGTGTTCACAAGATTCTTAGGCTTTCCTCTTCCCCCTTCCTTTTTGATTCTGCTTTTTGTTCTAGCAAATCAGTGCGAGAATTTTATCTTCTATTTAGCTGGTTCTGTTTTCCATCACTTCAACTCTGCTCATATGTCCCCCGTTTGTTTATCTGTATTGTCTGGGATTGTAATTTTTATTTTATGAAATTGTAATTAAATTTTGTTATTTGACTAATTTTTTTACAATATTTGTTTTTATCTTTTTTATTTTACTGGTTTGTTTACAATGTTTGAATACATTGTTTTTACTATTTAATTCTTACATAAAACATAAAAGCTTTATAAATTATTTAATTCACTTGGGTTAAAAATGAACTTTTAGTGTGTGCAAGGTTTTATGGTAATAATTAGGAAGCAAAGAAAGGGGAAAATAAATAGTGCCTTTGAAGGGCTTTTTGTGAAAATTGATGATTTTAAGGATCTGAGATTATTTTATTAAATATTTAATTCAAAGGAAATAATTTTGAATTGTCTAGACCTTGATTGCTTTATCCTTTCTTTTACTTCCTTTTTCTCTTCTTTTGTAACATTCAGTCATTTCCTTGAGTAAACTTTGTTAATTTTTTTGGTGCTGTTTTTGACTCATGATGAGTCTCCTCAGTCCTGAGCTATCCTCCCAATTGCTGCTGTGTTTGAACTTACTGTTGCAGCCCCTGTATCAGTTCATCTCATTAAGGGATTTCTTTTTCTTTGTATTTTATCAAGCATACCTTTTTCTAAGGAATGACCCCTCCTGATAACTTGTCCAAAGCATGTGAGATGAAGTCTTGCTATCCTGTCCTCCAAGGATCACTCCAGCTTTATTTCTTCAGAGATAGATTTATTTGTTAAGATTCCATAGTATTCAAAGAAAAATTCCTTCAATTTTGAATATTCAAATTGTGATATACACAATACCATAATTCAAAATCATCAATTCTTCTTTGGTATTATTTATTTTTTGTTCAACTTTCAAGTGTCATATGACACAGTTGAAAATGCCATGGCTTGGGTCAGACACACCTTAGTCTTTAAATTTACATCCTTGCTTTTTAGCATGTTAAAGAATTCCTAGACAGCAGATTTACCCAGTGCAGCACTCTATTTGATTTCTTGACTACTTCCTCCATTGGTATTGGTTAGAGATCCAACACAAATGAAATAATTGGCAGCTTTAGTCTTTTTTCTGTTTACCACCATGTTATGTGAGGACTTTTTCTTTAAGTTGAGGTATACTCCATACTTAAAGGTACATCCTTTGAGACTAATCAGTAAGTGCTTCAAGTTTTAGGATGATCTTAAATTTTAAAATGACAGAATATAGGCCAGCATTTCAAGCAAGATGACCTTTATTAAATTATACATTTATTTTTTTAATTACTTAAAGGCTCTAGGTTAGTTTTGAGTAACAGTGATCCAGTTAGCAGGGATTCTTCTCAGAACCTTATAAAAACCCACTGTTGAGTTTCACTCATAGTGACTCTCCATTGGGTTTCTGAGGCTTTAAATGTTTATAGTAAGAGACTACCCATCTTTATCTTGTGGTGTTTCTGGTGGTTTTGATCTGACAGCTTTTATGTTAGAAATGCAATACCTATAGCAGTATGCCACCAGAGCTCCTTAGGACCTGATAAAGGAAGAGGCTGAAATCTAAAGATGGAATCATGTTTCTATAATTATTTTTAAAAACAAGAATTCAACTCAGACTTTATCTAGTCATTTAAATAGGAATTATACCAGTCACAAAAGCCTAAAGTTATAATTTTTTATTATTTTGAGAACTTTCATATGGTGATCTCAAGGTATACTGAGACCATTTCTTGATTGTAAGGCCTTATTATTAAAGAAACGTAACAGGATATGATTACAAAGGAAAGTCAGATGAATTTAGTACGCTACTGAGAATGTGTGAGTTCCCATTTCATTAGTTGCAGAAACTGTCAGCCATTTATACTGAATGATAAGACAGTTAAAACAATAGCAGTATCTAGTTTGGCCTAAGAATAAGCAAATAGTGTCAATGACAATGGTCTCTTAAGAACCTTTTCCATGTCCTGAAGTTGCTTTTTTGCTGCTACATGATCTAAGGAAGAAAGTTATACCTCATGGCTATGGGACGGTTTCTTAGTAAGGTGTTCAGATCTATGAGATAAGAAAGGCGGGATATTGTTTTGCACATCCATAATTAATAGGCCACACTGAGGGTGTGTGAGAACCAATTTGAATCGTACCTACTCACATCCACTATTTAAGTCAGAAGAGAAAAGCACCAAGAAAGAAAATAATTATTGTTTCTAAGCTGATCCTTATAGATATTTTTCCTTTCCTCTTGAAAAAAATATAAAACTATACTCTATTTCTTGAAAGTGGTCACTATAAACAAGATTTTATGTATGTTAAGATCTCATAGCTTAATTTTTTCTACTTAATTAAAATTAATTATGTGATTCTGACTTTGCTTTTGCCAAGGGAATACATGATTGGTTAATAAAAACCAAACCCAATCCCCAAAATTCCAGACCCCAAAATTAGATATCCTACTTTTTCAGGTTACCAAAATGTTTATAGTAATTTGGTAGTTATTTTAATTTTATAAAATTTTCCTATATTCATGATCTCTAATTGCAATTTTTTTCTCGAGGTGCCTGCAAAGTATTTTATTATCTAGTACAAAAAGTGATTATTTACTCCAGGCTTGAGGCAACAATAATATCTTAAATGAGTATACCACATGTTTCTGATGACATTAAATTTTATATAAAACACAATTATGAGAAGTATTGTTGTTGTTAATGCCATTGAATTGACTATAACTCATACAAACCCTATGAATTAAAGATATGAAACCTGTATAGGAATTATAATTTTGGAGAGTGTTGTTGATAGGTGCCATCGTGTTGACTCTGACTCAGAGAGACATATACAACAGAACCAAACCCTTCCCTGTTATGTGCCATCCTTATAATCTCTTCTGTGCCCGTTATTGCAGTAGCTGCCATTGCATCTCATTGAAAGTTTCCCTCTCCTTCTGAACCTCTACTTTTCTAAGCATAATGTCCTTTTCCAAGGATGGGCTCTTTCTTACAGTGATAAGAAGCTGTGCAGCAATCTCTAAAGAACACAATTTGAATTCACTAGTAGCTCCATGGAAGAAGGATGAGCAGTCTCCTGCATGTGATTAAACTGTGTTTGAAAACCCGCTGGAGGGTTAGCTGTGGGTCACTTCTGACTTCAAGGCTCCCAACAATAGCAACAAAATATAAGATGAAGTCTTATTATCCTCAGTTCTAAGGATCTCATCTATTTTGACATTTCATAATATATTCCATTTTATTTGCCACTATCAAACTTGAAGATTGGCAGGATGCA